TTCTGTGCGCGTCGCGGCGAGGGGTGGCGCGTGGAGTGCCATTGGCGCCGGTCTCGACCTCTCAAGGTCCGTGGTGCGTGGGCGGAGGTTGTGGTGCTTTCACGAGGCGGCGTCTTGTCACGAGGAGGTGGGGAGAGGTGCACGGAGGAGCGCGCCCAAGAGGCGAGACCATGGCGGTGAGTCGCCGGCCTTGGCGGGCGGGTCCATGGCGCTTCGGCCTTTCAGCGCTGGGTGGGCGCCGTTCTACTTCTCTTTTGCGTCCTCGGTTGAAAAATGGGAGTTTTGGCTGCCTATCCATTCTACTGTGCGTGACCCAATCTATCAAATGTGTCTCACGTTTAGTTCTTCCTCGTTGAAGACAGTCTTACAAAGTGAGATTTATATGTTCTGTGGGAGGGAAGGAGCAGGGAGTCTACCCTAGGCACCGTAGCATAGCACGTAGGGGGAGGGGGTCCCTTTCACACTGTGTGTGTCTCTATCTAGGCAGTACCATACCAGTAGGGCAGTAGGGCAGAGAGAGAGAGAGATCTGGAAAAAAAAAGTGTGGTGAATGGTGATGCATGCCGCTGGGTGGGTGGGAGGACGTCGCCATCGGAAATGAGACCATCTCTGAAGAAACCAGGCAGGCGACGGATGGATTAGTGGAGTCATCACGTCGCAATCAGTCCATCCATCCTCCCTAAAGAAACGAGGCAATCAAATCAAATCAACCCCATGCTCCTCCCAACCAACCAACCCAGCAGCGGGTATCTCACCGGCGCCACGGCTCGTGCGGCTCCGTTTCTCGTGTCGTGTCGCGCGCGCGGCCGAGGACGGGGAGATCTCGTATTCTCGTGGCGTCGCAAAGGCAAAAGACCCCCGCGATGTCGCGAGCCGCGCAGGCGGGAGACGATATGGCCAGATGGGGACCGATAAATCGGCTCGGCTCGCCCCGTCGCTGTCGTGAAATCTCCTTCTCGCGCTCGCGTTGCGTAATTGCGTCTGCAACTTGCACGGAGGGAGGCCGATAAATTTTACTGTTGGGGGGATGGGAACGGGAGTCTGTCCTTGCTGGGTGAAAAGGGCTGGTGGGGTTGAAGGTCAGGTGGTGGACCACCGCATCCATCCGTCTCTCTCGTGGTCGTGGACATCTTCCCTCCCAGTATCTCCCACCACCACTCGTCCAACCTCCCCACCATTCCATGCTTTTCTTTTATATTCTATTCTAGTATTTGTTTGTTTTTTCTACGCAAGTACCACAAAAAAAAAATACAGTTCTAGCTCTATCCTTAGTCAACCCATCTGAAATTGTTTGATCAAATCTACTGAAAAGATTATCGATATTTATATTATACCAAATAGATATGCTATAAAAATATATTCCACAACAAATCTTATTTAAGAGTAAAATTCATCATCTTGATGTTATCTATAGGTGTCGTATAGATTCCCAAAGTCTCAAAATGTATTTTAGAGTCTCTGGCCCACATGTGAGTGGCAAATATTGACAAGAGTTCTTTTTTGTCAGATTCATATAAGCACTGAGTCAGCATGCCACGTCAGCTACCGAGTTAGGTAAACGCCTGTTTAGACCTGGACGAGCCCGAACTAATTCCAGAGACCCAAAAATACATTTTGACAATCTAGGGACCTATATGACACCGGCAGACAACTTCAAGGACCTGCGGTGCATTTCACTCCTTATTTAATCTGCTACAAATATCGATGTTTATTTTTTATTTCCAAATCATAGTACAGACGCAACACTCTTACATACATACACACCCACCCCTACGAAAACGCATACACCATATCCCTATGAGCAGCTTCGAAAAACCGAGCCAACCTATAGACTTACTCCTACAAACATACGCATACAACATACAGCTATAACCACCTTTAAAAGACTGAACCGAGACTCCTATGCGTCTCATTGCCGATGGATACATCACCTACTACTAAAAGAATGCCATTAAATCTAGAGAAATACAAAAACCTACGTCAAGTCGAGAATTTGAACCTGAGTAGACAAGTTGAATCACAAGAAACTTACTCTATCCGTCCCTAAAAACATGGAAATCTCGTTTTTTCAAGGCGAGGACGCCCTCCTTTGTCCTTCACCGCGCCACAGCAAGTGTCCACCGAAACTTCGAGATGAAACATCTGACGACGGTGTGAACGCTCCTCTGCATTCTCCGCATCCGCTATTTTTATCCCGGGTGCGGAAGGCCGGAAGGCTGCCTTCCTGCCGGTGCTTGAGAGAATCATGGATGCATGGATGCATGGATAGATCGGGCGGTTGCATGCGGTTCTTTTTTTTTATTGGTAGGTCCTACAAAAAAACTGATCCTCACCCACATTTACATAAATTTTGAGACAACATTTAAATACCAGGATCACATCTTTTCTAGGACGGAGGTAGTAACTAGTTTGTAAATATTAATGATTTCCATATGAACTTGATATAAACTTAAAACGGTTGGATTCGGTACTATACTATAGTATACTATACTGGAACTGTCTTTTTTTTCCTCTCAGGCGGAAGAGTAATTAACATTTGATGGTAGAGAAAGTTTACGGAACTGGCTTTCGGCGAAAGATAACAACAGCCCAGCGGTAGGTTTACGTTTCAAAGTCCTTGTACGACACGACGCGGCTCGGTTCGGTTGCAAGATTTGACGTTGCATTGTCAACTTTGTCGTTGCGACTTGCGACGCTGATAGAGCTATCACAATCACGTGTCTGATGAACAGTCATTGCGTTTCTTCCATCCGAAAGTTTTGGTTGGATGACTCGCTTTGTTTTGTCGCCGGTTTGATTTGATGTGAGCAGACAAAACAAGGGAAGTCTAGTATATATCCGTGCATCCATGACCATAACGGAGGAAGAGGAGAAAGGCAACAAGGAACCTACAAGCGGATTGCGCAAACTAGCATGTTCAATTCAGGCTTTGGAACTTGCAGACAAGACGACAGCATAACGCATGACGCAATGCAAGTTTGCAACGCGTATGTTCAGGTTTTCTTTCAGCTGGGAGGATCACTGAGATCCATGGTTGATGGCGACCCCTCCTACGTCGTCTGAAAAAATCAGTACAAAAACACAGCTGTTCATGGAGCTCTCATCATCTTCAGGGTTGAAAGAACAATACAAAAAAAAAAAAAACACAGCAGGGCTGCAAATAAAAACTCAAATCAAAACAAAGTCATGTGTGTATATTTTAGACTACTGGATTAGAAAAAGCCAGTGCATTTCTTTCAACTTTGGTCCTTTGCCAGAGTGAGAGTTGCTGTCACCCCATGTTCGTTGCCTCGTTTGGCATCTCAATTTTTTGGTCCCGGGGAGTCCGCCTTTTTCTTCCCTTCCCTTCCCTTCCCTTTAAGCCCAAGACAAGAATCTCCCCGCTATATTGAAATTCGTCCAGAGACATCTGATCTCACGTCACCGTCTCACTCCATCTCATCTTTAAATAACATAACAATACAGTATCTTTATTGAAAGCGAACGGGAAAAAAAAAGGCACAAAGATGCGCTTGGACCTGCTCTGAGGCCTTTTTCTAGGCCCATCTCACTTCCCCAAACCCCATGCAAGTAGCTGGGGTTGGCATTAGCTCAACCTTGTGCATGTCTACCTAAACAAAGCAAACTGCTCATGTCTTTGCACCTCTGTTCTTGTGCAACCATTCTGGACTTTGTCCACCCATCCCAAACTGTTTTTGTATCCCTAATAACTCATTCCTTCCCCGCTGTCACTCTATCATGGCACGCGACTGTCTTGCTTTCAAGATGCATATTCAGAGGAGAGGTGTGCAGCTCGATACAAGATGCCCAGTTTGTCACCGGTTGGATGAGGATGGAGGACATTGCTTTCTTAAATGCAAGCTGGTGAAGCGATGTTGGTCTACTCTTTCCCTTGAACCGGTTCGCCAACAGCTGTTGGCAAAGCAATCGGCATGGGAAGTGGTGACTGAAATATTATCACTGAAAGAAGAAGTCCGAACTAAAACAGTGTTATTCCTTTGGAAGTGGTGGACTGAGAGAAACAAAATTAACAAAGGGGAGAAGGGTCAGGGTGTGGATGACGTTGCTGCAGATGTACTTAACTTGCTGAAAGATCTGAGCAAGTCGGAGAGGAAGGAGCAGATCAGGCAGACAGCTGGGAATGCTAGATGGAAAGCTCCACCGCCGGGCCAGCTCATGATCAATTCGGTCCAGGAGATGATGCAAGGAAGTTGGGGCTTTACTGTCCGTGACTATGAAGGCGAAGTGGTGCTTGCAGGGGCCAGTCGCCTGGGATCAATCCCGGATGCGATCACAGCTGAAGCAGCAGCGTGTGCCCAGGCTTTGCAAGCGGCTACAGATCATGGCATTTCACGAGTGCAGGTGGAGATGGACTCGACAATTCTTCAAAAAGCTCATGTCTCACCATCCATGGATCTCGCAGCATGCAGAATGTTGATAAGGGACACTCGTGATTTGTTGAATGAGCATTTTGTATGCAGTAGTGTCATTTCTATTCCTAGAGCTTGTAATGGGATAGCACATAATTTCGCTAAGCTCGCTATATGTTGGGACCCGGGTGGTCGCCACGTGTGGGCAAGCCCCCTCCCAGAATTTGTAAAGACCTTGATTGCTCGCAATGTTGTCGAGCTTATGGTTCCAATAACAGGGCCATAGAGCCAGGGATTGCATAGAAAAAAAGTAGTGTAGTACATGTAGGCCTTTTTTAGGCCCACTTCAGCTCCCCAAGCCCATGTGAGCCAATTAGCCCAACCTGCAGCATCTCAACCTAAACAAAAGAGACTGCGCTTGCCTTCGCACCCCTAACTGTCCTTGTTCAATCACACATTCACACCGGACTTCCGTACATGCTAATTCATTCCTCCCTCTGTTTCACATACAAGCATACTATGTTCTACTGAGCAAGACAGGTTTCAGCAACAAAATTATAGGGTGACACTGACAGGACTACAAGTGTAGATAATAATACAGACTGACAGACACTGCCTCTGGTAACAGTCCTACACTACATACATCCTCCTTTCCGGGAGCTCCAACATATAAAGGCTATAAAGGCTAAAGGCGAAGAGGTTCAGATTGAGGGGCATGCTGGCGCTTGGGCATAATTCAGGCACAATCCAACTGGTCACGGTTTCTCCATTCGGATCTGAAGCCACCCAAACAGCATCCATGGACATGTTGGACCACGTGAGCACATCTAGCAACAGCCAATGTTTACTCGCACTTGATGGAGCGGTAGATGCCGCACGAAGAAGAAGCGATGCGCGGAAACCAACGGTGCCCAGCATGAGGAAGAAGCCGTAGCAGACGCAGGTCATGTAGCCGAAGAAGAAGGATGTCTGCATGAAGCCTGACATGTCGGACCGCGCATGGTAGTAGTAGATGCAGTAGAAGAAGATGAATATGCCCGTGGAGCCTCCACACAGGACAGATCTGCAAGCAGACATTTTTACAGGTTTGTAATTTGTATTCCATGTGGAAGATAAAACTGCAAGACAGAGAATGAAAACATAAACCTACAAAACTAGAGAACAGACATCTAACAAGTTTATCCAGATATGGTTCCCTAATGCACACATAAATTCTGACTTCTCTGCTACAGACCACGATTCCAAAAATGTATATGTTCATTCATATCATTCATTATAATCCACATCTTGAGTGTCCTATATCCATCAGCCTTATTTTAGCACCAAACTTTATCCAAGCATCAGTTGATACAAAACAACAGCAGATGATATATCTCAACTCAAAGTTGTTGCTGAAATATAACTTCTTAAGTGCTATAGAAGTAAGTTTATTCTAATTTCTCATTGGATGCCTGAGTGTTTATTAAGTTCCAGTACTTTCAGTAATATCATAAATGCATTTTCTATAAACATTTCCCAAGGAAGCTCTGATCTAGCAATCCATGTACTAAAATAGTTGCTACAAACCAGACCTTGTGCTTCTCATTTCTAGTTTTGATGGATGGCATTTTCAAAGACAATAAAAGGTAACCACAAACAAGAACAAAATGAGGGATAAAGCATAAAGATGAGTTGATATTCCAAACACTGACCTCCACCACCACTCATGATCCTCAACAGCAAGCTGGAAGTACGTAAGTGCCACTGTGACAAAGGCTGTGACAATGATGAGGATAATGAACACAATAAAGAGGATGCTGTAGATAGTGTATATCTTATGCCCCCAGATACTGGCAATATATAGTACAGCTCAATGTAAATTGCGCTGAAAGGAGGAACCCTGCCATTGTCATCTGAGGAATGGTGCTTGAGTACCATGGAAGCTGAGGATTTCCCTGGGTACTTGGTTGTCTTGACAGGGGGATTGGAATTCTGTATTACTATTTTTCCCGGCTATACCACCCAACACAAGGAGAGGAGAGGTTACAAGTGCCCAGATGAGGATAATAACAATAATAGTGCCAAAAGGCAAAGCTGCTGTAGCACTGTACGCTATTGCAACTGTATTTAGGAAACAGAATGTCAAGAAGAGAGGTCCACAGAATAAGCAGCCAGTCAATATTAGATTCCTAACCTGAAACACGTAGACATGATGTGTAAACATACAGCAGCAAAGGATTGAAGAAAGATGATCATTAAAGCATGGCTTACCCAGTTTGTTCCCTCCAGTTGCAGATAGAAAGAAGTGGCTGTGTATCCAGCAATACCGGATGTAAGAGCATAGATGACAACAAGGGCAGTAAAAAGAGCTCCCCGGTTGTATGGATAAAAGACACCAACAAGAGCGAGGAGGAAGATGAAAATCGCACTGTGAAACAAGAATCATTTATAACGGATAGGATCCTTTCAGAGCTTGACTAATAAGATAATCTAAACTGACAGAGGTCTTACAGGGCAAGAAGCTGAGTTCCAGATCCAATAAGTGCTGCAAAAACGGACTTCTGTTTGGGGAAACGGAAGACATCACCATGAATATACTTCCATCCAGTCTCCTCTTGGTCTTCAAGGGACTCATCTTCATGAGAATACCTTCAATGAAAATTAATGAATTAATAATGCATCTAGTAAACTGCAAGCTAGGTGACTAGAATGGAGCCCAGTAGCTAATATCTTACTTGATGAAATCGTTCTTGAGAACACGCATCAAGATTGTAGCCAGGAAACCAGTCAGGAGGAGTACAGTAACACACGAGTTAATTATGGAAAACCAATGGATCTCTAGATGTTGTGGCATAGAGGAAGACTTGGAGTACTTATCCATTCTTTTCTCAAAAGGAATATCTGTCTTTTTCCATGTCACTGAATAAAGAGAACTCTATTGGCACTTCCTTGTCCTCTGTGATATCCACAGCCACATTTGGATCAGTCTGTACATTGATTTCTATGACACGGTTATCATTGTACATGATGTCAAAGTGGATGTGCTTAAACAATAGGTACTTCACATCTCCTTGATCCTTGTCCTTGTTCAGTTTACCAAGGAATCCCATAATGGCAAATCATCATAGTACATCTGGAAGTAGTAATCCTTGGCAACTGCATCCCGGAGGTTGGCAACTTGCTCTTTTGACAATACTTTCTTGCAGAGAACCTTGGAGTTCCTGTCTTCCTTGAAGTCCAACTCATATGGGGCATCAACCAACGGTCACCATTTAGAACCTCGCCAAGAGCTTCCTTTTTGTCCTTTGGATGTTCTATTACAAGCCAGCATTTAACAGAAAGAAGCAATAAATGGTCAGAACCAGTCAAAGAGATCGCTAAAGCAAACAACAGAAGAAAAGGTTGGGATTTGTATACCTGGTGCACAAAAGGGTAGATCATAGTACCTGTAACGTCTCACTGCAACACACGACAACTCATGATCAAACAAAAGCAAAACAGTGCTAACAAGAGGCTCAATAGAGACATCGCATGTTTATTCCCTTGTAGATTCTGTTTTTAAGCATTAACAAAATATGAAAATGCCATAGCTCACATGGCATAATTGCCCATATAACCTATCCTCGATCGAGATATCCATACTGCTTATTTCTAGCTAGTGTATGTGGAACCACAAAGACACTGTAACAGCAACCAAGAGCATCTGTAAAGCAATTCCTCTAGCCATATATTGAGTTTCTGGTAACAAAAACACACACCAACAGCACCCCAAAATTGTTCTCCAATTATGGCCATCCTCGCTAGCTAGAGGTGGAGAGTCGACTCACTCTGAATCTGGAGTCGTGAAAACCTTCCCACACAGGCAAGGAGCACAGCATTCCTTCCCTGCACGCAAAATCCTTTTCCCATGAGGTCTGCCTATTGCCACATTCCCTTCCCCACATGCCACCAAGCTTTCTGCAGATATGCCATGTTGGCGTACTCCATGAAACAATTCTGCAGCCCATGGCCTGGGGAGAACCCAATCGTGGCACCGGCAGGTCAATCCACATCCCCAGATGCTTGGCAGTGGTGAATCCTTTTCGTTCCAGTCAGCAGGTGGGGGAGACAGACTCCAGCTAGGGCAAGGGCTGTCGGCCCATGCATTGGCTGAAAGATGATGATCCGCTCAGTAGTTTTTGTTTTGTTTGATTCTGCAACCGCCTAGGGTAAAGCTCTGTCTTGTGTCTGAGTTATGGATAGGATCATCTTTGGGGAGAACAGAATCTGAAGTACTTGCTTAAAAAATCAGCACATATAATTCTCCCATTTAGGCCAGCGGCCAGCCCCCTCATGTGGATCTAACATAGATTTTCCCCGGTTACATCTCAGGTGTTAAACTGTTTTGTTTGAAAAGTAAATTGTTTTCTCTAGAAGTCAAAGACCGAAAATTGCCTGGGAAAAGCAAACTCTTGTGCTCGATGCAATAGCAGGGAAACTATAAAAAATAAATAAGTGATAGTAGCTCAGTTGGTAGAGTCTTCACTTTGTGAGACCATGAGCAATACTACTAGCTAGTACTTGCATATGTAATTTAGCTGTTATTTTCTGTTCACTTGCAGCCTCTATTCAGTATTCACTTTGTTAGACCATAAGCGATACTACTAGTTTAGCTGCTCTTTCTTTTATGTTTTTCCGTTCATAGAGAGGCTCTGTAATGTTTTTGCAGGACATATACATGGAGGGTGATATTTCACAACCTTGATTAGAGATGGTACTGATGCTGTTGGTTTGAGTGCTCAGATTAGCCAATCTGAGGAGCAAATACCAGCACAAGAAAGGATTAAACTTGATAAGTCTGAATTTGAGTTCAAGAGGATGTTGGACGAAGAGAGAATTATGAATCGACATTAGTACCATGTCCATCACTCAGCAGGAATACTACAAAAGCCTCTAGGATGGTATTCTTGCTCGACGCCTCAGTAGCTAGAGCCTAGAGCTCATCTGCCTACAATTGTGCCTGACATTATTCCATGATTTCTAAGACAGTGTAATACATATGTACTGATATGCTTATACAATTGCTTCACATTGTTCTTTTATGGAATATCATTTGTGCTTGATCTACTCTTACACACAATTGGTGCTTGTAAATTGTGATATGTTCTTATACACATCTGAGCTATGTGTCAAATGTGTACAGAAACGAATCTGTTATTATGTGTCAACAGAGAATATGTACACACTTGTGATCTGTGCTTCTGTGTCAATATGTTTTATACAACCTTGTGAATTAGTGATTTTCTATTCAGCTGACCTGATTGTTGAAGGTTCCGCAAACATAAGTCATCTTTGTGTGCCATGCTGATCCTGATTGTTAAAGTATGCACTATGCAGTCTGTACTCATCCCATTTTTTCGGATGGATTGTGGAAGTATGCAGTCTGTACTCGCCTCATTTTTTCAGTTATGCAAGATTGAGGAACATTCTTTGTGCCATGCCATGACATTCAGCACGGTACAAGTATGGAGTTATCAAGATTATTATCAAGCATTCAAGCTAAATATGTAGCTCTGCAAACACTTAGTAATACATGACTCCATTCCTATAATTGAAGAATACCACTATAACAGTCTCGGAATGCAGATTCATAACTTTTATACTAAGCCCTATAATTGAGTAGTACATGACCTACGATACACTTAGTAATATTTAAGCTGCTGCGTCCAAACTATTTTTTTAAGAGAAACTGTGGAGCAAAGCTCCCCAGCACCGAACAATATATTAAAAATGAATAGAAGTTACAGGGTTGTTAGCTCGGAGCTAACAGAAGGGCAAACCGTACAAGGAGGAAAAGAAGCTACTAAATTACAGAGATGCTAGCCATTGAATAATTACATGATGGTGACTGGGGTTAAAGCGACATAACTGCATCCAAACTGTTAGTGATCCCATTGTAATGTAACCACCAACATAAACAGCAAGCTTATTAAAACTCGCATTGTAAGGATAACTGAAACCATAGTACAACATAATGCTGATTCCATATCTAAAGTTTGAGCATTGCAAGAGTGTGCTGTACCTTGGATTGTGGAAAGGCCCGACCTTGTTGGCGTAGAGCGGAACATGATCCCTTCCTTGTACTTGTGATCAGAACCATCAGCTCTGGCTCCCAGTGCACAAGCCAAAACCACAACAGCAAGAACAGCAGCTGCCCCAGCGCTCGCCATCTCCGCAAGCACCTGTACAAGAGCACCGACAGAACTAAAGTCAGAGAGATCTTGACCGCACCAGAGAACAGCCTGCACATGCAACGCGCAAAGGCGAGATCCTTGCGAGCGAAAGGAAAAGAGGACATGCAGACTCGACCCCACCAGCCCCTAAGATCCTTACCAAGATCCAAACTTTCCACCCGAATGAAGCTCAGGCGTCAAAATGACGAGACCCCGTCGGGAGATTTCAGCGGGAAAGCGTCCCAACGGCGTTGCTCCCGCGCGCCGCTGCGGGGCGGCTGATTTGGTGCGAACCCGTCGACTGGGGCGGCGGATTTGGGTGGGAACCGTCGACTGGGGCGGGGCTCTTGGGAGGCAACGGTCGGGGATCTGCTGGACAGGGCAGCTCGTGGAGGTTTTGGGGAGGAAGAGCCGGAGAGGGGAGATGGATTGAAAGTTCAATTTTTTATGGTTTGTCTGGTCAAACAGCTTGGGAATGGAGAAATCTCTTGGATCTATGGAAGAAGATGAAGAAGATAACAGAGCCGGACGTGTTTCTTCTTTTGACTTGCAGGCAACTCGCGATTTCTAAATTCCGCAGCTTGGTTGCGTTCAGCACAGCAGGGCGGCAGGGGCGCCCGTTTGCCCGGTCGCCTATTACCGCCGTTGGATATTGCTACTGTGCGAGCGTCCGTCCGGACGGACTCCGCACAAGGTGACCTCCCGCGCCTCGCTGTGCTCGTCCGTCCCTCCTCCCGCCTCCTCCACTCTGCTTTCGACCGACCGCGTCTTGCCTCTACTCGCCCGCTTCTACTCATACTCTCCACTCTCCAGACGGGCATACATGCTGCTCCGTCTGCGTCCTCCTCCCGCCTCCTCCACTCTGCTCGACCGACTGCGTCTTGCTCTACTCGCCCGCTTCTACTCATACTCCTCCACTCTCCAGTGGCAGCACGCAATGGCTCACAAGGCCGCCCCTCCATCCCTCCCATGATCTCCATGCCACTGGAGAGGAGGCGACGACGGCGGCTTCCCATGAAGCCTCTCCTCCCTCCCTCCCTCCCTCGACCTCCATGCTACCGGAGAGGAGGGCGGCGGCTTCCGGCGAGCCACCCCTCCCTCCCTCCCTCCGCGACCTCCATGCCATCCCGAGAGAGAGCGACGTGGCCATGGCTTCCGTGAAATAGGTGGATCTGAGCCCTCCTCCTCGGATCTGAGCTCTCCTCCTCCTCCTCCTCCTCTGGATCTGGATCTGGATCTAAGGGACGCCATGGTGGCTAAGGTTCCAGAGCTCTCTTCACTTTGGTAGCAGCCTTTGCTTTGTTGTAACAAGTATTATTCCTTTGTTGCATTACTTTTTTTATGATGTTGCATCTCGCATTGCGCTTTGTTTCTATTATTGCAGTATCGTTGTTTTTCTGTTGTAATAAGTATTTTTTCTTTGTTGTATTAGTCTTTTTTCTGATGTTACATCTCGCATTGTGCTTCGTTTCTTGTTGTTGCAGTAGCTTTGTTTTACTGTTGCAACATATAATTTTTTGTGTTGCATTAATTTTTTTTATGATGCTGATTTCTTGCATTTGCGCTTTTGTTCGGTTTTTGTTGCAGCAGCCTTGTTACGGTGTTGCAACAAGTAATTTTTTTGTTGCATTAGTTTCTTTTTTCTAATGTTGCATCTCGTATTGTAGTAGATTTCTTCTATTGTTGCAGTCGCTTTGCTTTGATGTAGATTTGTTCTGATGTTGCATCTCGCATTGCTTTTTGTTTGATGTTACAAACAAGTAATACTTTCGATGAGAGCGCTGATGAGGATCGACGCCTTTTAAGCGTGGAGTGCTTGCATGCGCCATGGGATGGCGGGGGAGACGGTGGGATGGCGGTGATGCGACTTTTAACGAAGTCTCTCGTTCCATGGGGCGGCCAGGCGTTAGGTGCTCCGTTGTTTTGGTCGGATCAAACGAGTCATCGTGTTCTATGGGTGGAACCGTCTCGAAATAACGAAGACTTGTGGAGGCGCTCGTCTTCCACCGGACACTAAGCACCCTGAATCAAACATACAGCGAGCGGTATCCGTCGGAGCACACCCTAAGGGAGAACCCGAAAGATCCACATTTTCCCCCGATGATCCAATAATGAGAACGAGTTACAATACTTAATCCATTTCATACATCCAGAGTTCATAAAAATTACATTATTACATTTCCAAAGTCAGAGTGCGGAATGTTAAACAGCGGAATTAAAAATAAACATCTAGCGATAAAGAGCGAGGATCCGTCTGTGCCCACCAGAAGAATCCTCCACACAAAAGTGCTCTTCGAACATTACCTGCAACAGGGGTAAATCCTGAGTACACAATGTACTCGCAAGACTTATCCGACTAGTGAAAATAATTTCCCGACTCCAAGGGATATGATAAGCTTTTATGACTTGCTGGTTTCCTTTTTGCAGAAAGTAATACTAATAGTGAGTCCTTATTTATGTTATTATTAATAGCCGTATTAATTTATTATCTAGCCATTCTATGTAAGCACCTCGCTCTACTTTCAAGCAAAAGTTGAGCAATCAGCCCCATTTCATCACCTTCCATCTTTCAATTCTTATTACGGTGTTAGACCCAAAACAAGCCGTGCAGACGTTCCTGCCGATTCGTGAATCAATGCCCCCAACTGGGTACCCCGAAAACACACGCTCCGCTTGTACCCCAGGCACAAGCAGGACTAACCCATCACCCTCCTGTCCTGGGTGCCTAGATCCCCATCCAAACTTGGACTCCAAGCCCCCACTCCCGAGTCCCGGACTTAGTGCGGTGCAAGGACCTCCACCATTTCCGCCTCCAATCAGTCGGTCCAAAAGGAGCCGGATTCCACGACAAGAGAGCAACGAGTCTTCCATACGTCCATACCTAAGTATGTGCTTGGGATAATAAATTTATGACTTGCCTCGAGACTTATGCAACGGCCGGTCCTTAACCATCACAGACAGGGAAAAGTGTAACCAAAGCTATGCCCTGTTGGCCGCAGGACACAACCTCTTACGTCAACTAGTACCCAACCATATCCCTATCCGGTCACCATTTTCTTTTCCACCATTTTATCATGAGTAATCATAATTATCATCTATTGTGAGTAACGACAGTGTTACTCACGCTACTGATACTATGAGCATAGCATAGCGACTACTTGACACAGCATTAGTATGTTTCATAGGTAGATATATTTATACATGTAGTTTCCATAAAATGTACGTAACATAAATGCACACCATATATATATATATATTCATTGATCATAAAATATGGGTTATGCATCGAGGCTTGCCTTGGGCGATGAACGGTGGGTCAAGAAAGTCACACCAAAAGGCTTCGAGGCTCCTTCCTCAGATGAGGATCTCCTCCTCATACTCATCAATGACTTCTTCAGAATCCTGCTTCGTCCATGGGCACGAACTCTATCAACTCATGATCTACATGCATGAAATGATCATGCAACACTTAGTAATACGACAACAGCAACTCTTAAAGTAAAATACATCTATCAAGCTACTAAGTGAGTCTTATCGACTAAGATGCTAAGTTACCTACTGTTACCATTAACAAGTATGAAGCATGACATATGTTATCATAGCAACTAAGGGTATTCTTACTCTTAATACCTTACTTTCTATATATATGATAAAACAAGTAGTACTTAGCTTATTCTATTTATCAACCTACTCTTGGGTTACAAAATTACAAAGAAGCACATAATAATCTTATGAGTTTATCAAAAAATTTCATGGCTAAAGCTATCACCGGTTTGCCACAAAATTCCTACAAATATTAAGCTAACTAATATTAAGCTTTCTAATTTGAATTTATGAACCTATCATTGTAACATCTAACTGTAATCTAACTACACTAATAGATAGATGACATTTTTGTGAACCTAACAAATTTTGTTTCACTATTTTTGAACATCTACTGCAATTTACTATAAATTATCAAAGTTCAGCTCAAAACTAAATTGAATAAGCATTTACTACTTTTACTTAAAATTGAAAACCGATTTCTATCTCTCATGCCCACAATGCGAATGGCTCAGCCCACTCACTCGGCGCAGCGCAGCACCAGCACAACCCACTCCCGCGACAGCGGCCCAACGCGAGGAGACCCACGCGTGCACCTGTGATTATGCAAAAGAGACCCCGTCATTCAACTAAATGAACCCATGATCCCTTCTACTATTTAACTCTCTCTCTCGACGCCGCACTTAATTGGAAGAAGGTGGACTATGCAAGGCCAATTTCTTGACGACGCCGTTCGGACTTATGGCGGCCGCGATGGCGTAAAACTTAAATTGGGGACTCGACGCCGACGACAAGAATGTGGCAAACCGGCGCGATCGCCGACCCCAAACCAACCTCCAGACGCGTGCGCAATTACCATCTCGGGGCCAGTTTCTACTGTTTAGGCCTTGCGCGCGTTTCGGCCGGCCGACGACATATACTAAACGTGGTGTGGCGCGGTCGAAAGCAACAATGGCGTGGCGTCGCGTCAGCAGATGTGAAGGTTAAGGTAGGCGGGCAAGCCCACGCGTGCGGTCGAAAGGTCAACGGGAGCGATAGCAGCGGCGGCGGGAAACGATTGGCACGCAGCGATAAAGCCGGATCGGGTGCAACGACGCGACGCATCGCGGCAGCGGGGCTCAGGCGGACGCGACGGAGGAGGCGAATAGCCCGGTTTATGCGGGCCAGCGTCGCGGCGTGTCGCGGCAGTAAGCGGGCCAACGCGACAATGGCGGTGCGCCTGGCAGCAAGGTGCGGCGCAGTAAAGCGCCAAGCGGCGACATCGGCGAAGTCAGCGGTGACCGCGCCAGAACACCGGCCGTGACGGAACGTGCCTTGCACACATTTTAAAGCATTGCTAAAAAGCCAACTCGATGATCCAAAGAGAGCACACCACCTATTTTACTCTCTAGCTGGTATATCGTTACTAAAGAAACCCTAAAACCATGCCACTACTTAACCCGATCCTTATATAA